CCCTTTCTCCCTTTCTCCCGTTCTCCCGTTCTCCCGTTCTCCCGTTCTCCCGTTCTCCCGTTCTCCCGGTGCGCCCTGTCGCCCTTTCCTCCTTGCTCCCTTTCCCTCTGTTCTCTCTTGCTGCGCTGGCTCTCTGTGTTTGTTTTGTTTCTCTCTGTCCTCTCTGTTCGCTGGTCAGCGAGAGAGCGAGAGAGAGAGCGAGAGAGAGAGGAGAGAAGGAGAGAGAGAGAGGGGGAAGGGGGAGCGGGAGAGCGGACAAGAAGAAAGAGAGAGAGAGAGAGAGAGAGAGAGAGAGAGAGAGAGAGAGAGAGAGAGAGAAGAAAAAGTAACGACTTCATGTTTTGTGGCTTCACCTGACGTGCAGGTTCAACTGGTCGTTTCAGAATCGTTAGCGGTGGCTCAGTCCTTTTCAAGATGAAACGCGACGCAGATGGCGCAGGGCTACCTACATCATGAAGATTCACGCCGCGCAAAAGGATCACCTGAGGACACTCAGAAACACCAAGACATGCAAGTGAGCATATTCTTCGCACCGCCCCATTTCGAACCATAGATGCAGGAACTTTTCTTTGCCAGCAGAGGTAAAGTCGCTTTGTTCCTGCGATGCGCTGTTCAAATACATAAATATCACCAACTTCTTGACATCATGTTGCCAGCGACTAAGAAAAAGACGCAAGGTCAGAAGAAGAATGCAATACACTCTCAAGAAAACTCTGAAGTAGGGATCTTGCAGGCTCTGCGTCGCAGTTTCCTGAAATTTCACGACCAGCATCCTGCACATACGGAATATCTTGCACCTTTGTGGCAGCAGAACCTGCGTGGGATCTGGTTGGAAGAGCTTGGTACCTCCAGGTCAATTTACGGGTTTTCGCGCATCGTTTCTATGCACCTTCCTACGTTCGTCGAGGACTCTGGAAGCACGACGTCTCGAACGTTCCGCTGCACATGATATTTGAGTGTGTGGGCGATTCTGCCGTTCTGGTGTCCGTTGGGAGAAGGAAGAGATGGTGGCAATGGGGTATCCATCTCCGAGACACCAAGCTGTGACGATTGAAACCCCTTCGTTCCTGTTTGTCATCCCGGCAAACCCACCAACGCCGGTAGGCAGCCGTTCTACTTGGAGGTATTTTGATGGCATTTTTAGCCTGCAATCCAACTTGTAATCTGGGTCACGTAACAGGTCATACAAGTCATACAGGGAAAGCAGCCAAGACCTGCTCGAAAGTTGCAGGAGTCCATCATTGGCATGGTTTTTTAGCCTCCGCTCAGTATATTGCGGAAACTTTTCAGACTGGCGGCCAAGCGCATGCAGAGGTCAATCCATGGGTCTCAGGTCCCAGAAGTTGCAGCATAAGAAGGGACGAGGATTGACTCTGTTTCCGACCAGCCAACCCGCACTCAGTGCTTTCATGGCAGACTGCACACTGCGGAGGGCTGGCCTGCTTTGTCGGTCTCTGCAAGCAAGCGTTCGCTTCGGACCAGGGGAAATTGCGAAAAACTCTGGAGTGTCTTTGACCTGTCCTTCAATACTTGTTGGACCTGAGTTTTGGGCCTAAGAGTTTGGGTCTGGCTGGCGGGTGCCTCATTAGATTGAGGAGTGGACACCAAGAGGCAGCGAAATACCGCTTATGCTCCCCATGAGCATGCAGCTGGCATACAGTTGGTTGAATTGTGGTTTGTTGTTGGAACGTTGTTTGTTTGTTTTCGAAGCCTTGATGTGGAGGACATTCTCATATCTCACGATAATAAAACCCAGTGGTCACCAATTTCCAGGAAAAGTGCACTGACTAGGGCTTGTGAAGGGACCACAGCTTTAATCCGGCTGATCCTCCGCGAAATTTGCTGCGATCCGGCGTCAGCTTATGGCGGTTGCCAGCCATCAAAATCAAACAATTCTGGGCGGCAGCCTCTCGACCTGACGTCGAGTCCACTGCTATTCCTCTGCAGAGTTCTCCGGGCTCCGCCTCAGTCTTAATTCAAAGACGATCAACCCAGAAGAAGTCTTTCAAGGTGCCCATTTAGTCGGAAGCTTTTCCAAAAAATCAAACGGCGCCAGGCAACAGGAAACAACAAGTGACGACAATCAAAAGCCGTCTTGATCCTAAGGGTGAAACAGACCGCAATTCACGACGAAGACGAAGTCGGGAACCCTGGCAGCCAAATACGTTGAAGGCATGTGCGTCATGGACCATGCACAGAGCATTCAGGAACTGTTTGTGCGGTGCCATCCGACATTCCACTGCCCATCCAGCGCATGCGCATCCCTTCCATTCACGATGCGGCCAACCCACAAGACCGACCTGTTGTGCTGCTGACGTGGTAAAAGAGGTGTCCATCTCAAAAAAGCTCGCTTCTAGCTCTCTCTTATGCTGCCGTCTCTAGACCCCACCAGAGATTGTCGTACTCAGAGCTGATTCAAAACTCGAAGGGTGTTGGGCGTACGGACTTGACCCAAAACTGAAGAATCGACAGCGCTGAGAGGCCTAGGACGCAACGATCTTCGGCCATTTGGCCGCGAAAATTTGCTCGTAATCGAAACTCCAACACAATGCAGTTCTGAGACGGGAGAGTCCGCGGGACTCCAGCCTTCGGCTTCCGTAAGCCCGCGGACTCTCCCGTCTCAGAACTGCATTGTGTTGGAGTTTCTCACTCCCAAATTTTCGCGGCCAAATGGCCGAAGATCGTTGCGTCCTAGGCCTCTCAGCGCTGTCGATTCTTCAGTTTTGGGTCAAGTCCGTACGCCCAACACCCTTCGAGTTTTGAATCAGCTCTGAGTACGACAATCTCTGGTGGGGTCTAGAGACGGCAGCATAAGAGAGAGGCTGCAGTTAGTGGCTCTTTGTTGGCTACAGGTTTGTGGCTACTGAGTGGCTGCAGTTTGTGGCGACAGTTTGTGGCTACTGTTTGTGGCTACAGTTTGTGGCCACAGTTTGTGGCTACAGTTTGTGGCTACAGTTTGTGGCTAGAGTCTGTGGCTACAGTTTGTGGCTACAGTTTGTGGCTACAGTTTGTGGCTACAGTTTGTGGCTAGAGTTTGTGGCTGCAGTTTGTAGCTACGGTTTGTGGCTGCAGTTTGTGGCTACAGTTTGTGGCTACAGTTTGTAGCTAGTGTTTGCGACTAACAGTTTGTGGCTCAGTGAGGGCCCTCACTCCCCACTAGGGGCCCTTACCAGCCCCTCACTCCCACTAGGCACTCCCCAAGAGGGGCCCCCTCCGCAGTAAGGGCCCTCACTAGGTAAGGGAGCCCAGTGGAGGCCTCACTGGGGCCCTCACTTTGCAAGAGGGGCCCTCACTCCCAGTACGGGGCCCTCACTACAAGGCCCCTCACTGGGCCCTCATTCCCCAAGAGGGGCCCTCAGACCCCTCACTACAAGGCCCTCAAGAGGGGCCCGCACCAGCCCAGTGAGGGCCCTCACTCCCAGTAAGGGGCCCTCACTCACCCGCCCTCACGCCCAGTGAGGGCCCTCACTCCCCACCACAGGGGCCCTCACAGTAAGGCCCTCACTCCCGGCCCTCACCAGCCCAGCCCAGCAAGGGCTCTCCCTCCCCACTGGCCTCACTCACACAGGTAGGTACCCGCAGTCCTCAGCAGTCACGCTGGTCGGGAACGCCCCTGGTCCTCACCACCCGCGGCCCGCAGTCCTCACCAACCACGCTGGTCGGTATCCTCACCCCCGGTCCTCACCACCCGCGGCCCGCAGTCCTCACCAACCGCATCGGTTTGTTCTATCCTCACCCAGTATCCTCACCCGGTATCCTCACCGGAATTCTCACTATCCCGGTCCTCACCACCCGCGGCCCGCAGTACCAACCACGCCGGTCGGTATCCTCACCCCTGGTCCTCACCACCCGCGGCCCGCAGTGTACCAACCACGCCGGTCGGTATCCTCACCCCCGGTCCTCACCACCCGCGGCCCGCAGTGCCAACCACGCCGGTCGGTATCCTCAATCCCGGTCCTCACCACCCGCGGCCCGCAGTCCTCACCAACTGCGTCGGTTTGTTCTATCCTCACCCAGTATCCTCACCCGGTATCCTCACCGGTATTCTCACTATCCTCAGCCCCGGTCCTCACCACCCGCGGCCCGCAGTACCAACCACGCCGGTCGGTATCCTCACCCCCGGTCCTCACCACCCGCGGCCCGCAGTACCAACCACGCCGGTCATTATCCTCACCCCCGGTCCCGCGGCCCGCAGTACCAACCACACCGGTCGGTATCCTCACCCCCGGTCCTCACCACCCGCGGCCCGCAGTCCTCACCAACCGCGTCGGTTTGTTCTATCCTCACCCGGTATCCTCACCCGGTATCCTCACCCCCAGTCCTGGCCCGCAGTCCTCACGTTCTATCCTCATCCGCTGTCCTCACCCGGTATCCTCACCCCCCTCATCGGTTCTATCCTCACCCGGTATCCTCACCTGGTATCCTCACCCGGTCTCCTCACCCCCCGTCGTCGTCACGTCGTCTTCGTGTCGTCATCCCCATGTCGTCGTCGTCCCCACCTCGTCGTCCCCGCGTCCCCAGCCAGCAGCAGCGGCCGTAGCCAGCAAGCAGCAATATCCTGCAATCAAGCACGCGCGCGAAGCTGGAGGCTCGAGATGTCAAGATGGAGCTGCCCAGCGGAAACCTCCGATGCCTTAAGGTCGAATCGCATGGCAAGGACCTCCCAAAAACATACATGGCAGAGCAGGCCAAACAGCTCACGAGGTGCCTCTAACAACTGACACCGCTGGAACAGTGCATGCTTGGGGCGAGGCCCAGGCGCCGTGGAACGACCTGCAGAATTGACGCGAGCAAGAAAGCAACCCGCAAACGGCCACGCATGCGCTCGTCAAAAGTCTCGCAGCCAACATGCAGCAGCTCCCAGTGCGCAGACTCTTCGGGATTCCACTTGCAAGGCTTGTCTGGGGGAAAGTCCCATAAGGCCAACTGCGGCTTGGTTGCCATTGGCAGAGCCGGCAGCAACTGCAGCAACTTTGGCAGCGGTTCGAGCAGGCCATGCTTGTGTTGTATGGCAGTGCTGATCTGGATGGCCAGCACCTCGGTCTTGTCGGCAAGCTTGAACCTGAGAATGCTGTCGAGCACAGGATATCGCGGGCTGTCAGGCGTGAAGTAGCCCACAATGTCATTGCCGATCTCCATGCCCTCGTGCTCTTCGATGCTGCGAGGCCTCGACTCGAACTGGGCACAACTCACTAACCAATGCAGGTCGTCGGTGCCTGGCTTGCGAAGTGTGAGCGGGACCGTGTCTTTCCGGGCGGTAGCCTCCTGCCAGAACAGGTGAACCAAGAGCTCGAAGGCACTGCCCGCGGCGCCTGGGTTCATGTTCGAGAGTCTCCTGTACATTTTTGCCACCTCGTCGAACTGTGCGTGCTCGTTCTCCTTGATGTTCTTGATGACGAAGTCGGAGCGGGGCATCGGCTGCGCTGACATGATGCCGCTTGCGAAGCTCTTATCCTCTGCATTGGAAGCATGGCGGGGAAAGAACGCGGAGCTAGGCGTGGCTAGGGTACTTGTGACCCAAGAGCCCTGTGGGCGTGCGGGCGAAAAGCCGAGAAGTAGGCACGTGGGCCATCTAGGCAAAAAACTGCCCGGCGAGGCAGGGGCTCTGTGCTCATGGGCTGGGCTGAGGAAGTGTCCCCACACCGACTCGCGGTGTTTGTCGAATTCGTGACACCTGCTGCATTGGTGTCGCTCATGGACTTCGTCTGGGCTGGGCATCTGCTGGGCGCAGACGAGGCCGTATGGGCAGAAAGGCGGTGTGTTGCAGGGCCTTGCGCACCGTAGGCGGTTGTTGTGGTCCATATAGCAGACCTGGGCCTCGTGCTGGGCTAGCCTGAAGGTGTCGGGCAAGCACATGCTGGGCAAGATGGTACAACCTCTGTACCGTCTGTCAGGCGGCTGGCCGATGAGCAGACGGGGGGTGGGCTGGAGTCGATCTGCCTGGGCCCTGGGCTTGCAAGAGCGGTCTGTGCGGCCGGGGTCGGGGAAAATGGACCCGCCAGGCCTGTTGGCATCTCCGTCCTCGGAGTTTAGGCCAAGGAGGTCAGTGTCGGCTTCGTCTTTGGGGCCCGCCGTCGGTGGGTGTGGGCGCCTGTTGGGCCGGGGCGGGCTCATCAGGGGTCGACTGGGCGGGGGCAGGCTCTCTCGTCGGCGGAGGCACAGTGGGCGGGGTCCCAAAGGGGTATGGGCCCGGGACGACTGTGAACGACTCGTTGTCCATCATGAAGCGGGTGGAGGGTAAACCGCGGTAGGCATGGGCCATCAGCACGTCATAGTCGCACTGGTGAATGAGGATACGGCCCCGGGCATCCCTTTCAATACGGTAGTTGTCCATGTCTAGGCAGGAGAGGGTGGGCCCCAGTTGGGGCGGGTTGGCTTTGGGATTGGGCGCCGCCGGGGCATCTTGGGCAGGAGGCGTGGCTGTCGTCTGCTCTTCAAGGTCCGGGTCTGGGGCGATTGGCGGGCCGGCGTAGTAGGCAGCACAGGTGGCTGTGGCTTCGTCGAGGCAGTCGGCATGACTGTCTTTCACATTTGGAGGCATTTGCGGGGATCTGGCCCCCCGGGGCTCTGGGCGCCGGAGGCAGGTTTGGGCCTTGCGGGGGCGAGGTGGGCTGGGACTGGGCCAAGGCCTCGAGGAAGGCTGTGGGCACTGGCTGCCTTTCTTGAAGACGAGGCTGCAGGGGCGCTCGTGGCTGTGCGCAGGTGCCCTGGCGTCCAGATGCATTCCATGAGAGGATCCAGGAAAATGAGATCGTGCCGGCGATCCTGGGATCCAGCGTCCCCCGACAAAGCACTGGGCTGGGCGGAGGAGTTGGCTGAGCTGGGCGCATGGGCAGACTGGGCGGCGCTGTCCAGAGTGGCCTGACGGCGGGCCAGGGCGGCGGCCTTGAGGTCCTGGAGCTCCTGGGCTTGCTGGGCTGAGAGCATGGGCTGTGAGGGCGGAGCTGCGCCAGTGACGATCTCAGGCGGGGCTTTGGTAGAGGGCTTGGCGGGGTTTTCAACGGCTGTGTGGGCTTCTTGTGCAGAGTCGGCTGTGGGCGTGGCTGGCACTGCCGAAGGCGCAGGGCTAGGCACGGCAGGCACGCTGGACAAAAGGCGCTGCCTGGCAGGCTCGTCGAGCGAAGCCCACATGGCAGTGAACTGGGCAAGAGTGGCAGCGTTGTCAGCAGACATGGCGATGCTGATTGGACGTTGGAGAAGGCGAATGCTGGGCGCTCGAGATGAAATCGCTAGCGGAGGCATGCTGAGAAAGCTGAGAGTTGCAGGATGCGAGCAGAACATGCAACTGACAGGAGGCACAACAACATGAAAAGGCAAAGCAAACGCAGGCGCCTCTGGGCACTGGGCTGAAGTAGGCTAGAATCTCGTCCGTCGTGTTCCCGTCGAAGTAGTTTGGCACCTGGGCGGCAGGGCACAAAAGAGGTTCTTGGGTTGGCAGGCCGAAACCAAAAAAGAACCTGACAGCTAGCTGAGCTAGGCACTGGGCTGTCTGACAAATGTGTGGGCTGGCGTCATGAACATCTGAGGCAGATGCGCAGCAAGGAAAAGGGGCTCTGAGGCAGAGTCCTCGTCCGGCGGCGCCAAGCATGATGTGGGCAGACCTAGGTCGGAGAAAACGTTTCCGAGAGGGGCAGGGGCAATTTGGGCGGGAAAAATCTGAGACAGGCACTGGGCTGAGCTGTCTGCAAGGCGCAGTCGCGCTTAAACATCTGAGGCAGATGTGCTGGTGCAGTACTCTGAGGCAGAGTCGGCGTCGCTGGCAGGCATGGGCAGGCCTGCTAGGTACCAGCGGCAGTCTGAGGCAGTCCACCAATCGGCAGCGTGGAATGCGTGTCGGCACTGGGGCGTGAGGCACATCCAGATGGCTTCGGCAAGGTGACTGAGCCCGACCAGGTGCTGGAAACGGACTCGCGGGGGTAGCAAGGCGGCAGCCGGCAGGCCATGCAGGGCAAACACGTGGGCGTGTGTGCGCTGAAGAGGCGTCATGTGCTGGGCACATTGTCTGCGGCAAGTGAGGTTTTGGTATCTGGCACAAAGGGGCGGAGTGGGCAAGGCAGGCATGCGACCAGAGGCTGACACGTGTCGCGGGCCTGCAGGCAGAGGCGGCAGCATTTGTGCTGCGTTGCTCAGGAGATGCTGAGGTGGCGGGGCTTTAGCCCTGATCATCATGGGCGCGGCATTTTGCATGGGCTGTGTCTGAGGCTGGCGAACCTGGGCAAGTGCGAAACTGTGGGCAAAGGCGTCGTGGGCTGATGCTGCGGTGGGATCCGGCCCGGAGTCGCTGCTGTCCTCTGTGCAACTCCAGGGCTCGGCATTCCAAGGGCATTCGGAGTAGGCACGGTCGGCCATGGGCACGCTGAAGTGGCTGAGCGGTAGGTGCCAAGGCTGAGAGCTGGAAGCTACACGAGCTGCGGGTCATCACCTGGGCGAAGAGCGAGGGGCGCTAGCTCTGGGGGCAGGGTGCGTTCTAGGCAGTTCTCGGCGAATTAAGGCTAGAGGGTTGGCTTCGGCCCACCTATCCGCAGGAATCTGGAAGGTCCTGAGGGTGGCCAGGTGGGCGTTGTAGGGCAGGGTAGCCATGCGCCTAGCAATGTTAACCTGCATGGGCATGGGCTCGCAGGTGGCATGGAGGCGCTGAAAATCGGCTTCGGCTCGGATTTTATAGGCCAGGAAATCCGAGGCCAGGCAGTCAAGGTCATCCCTGAGGTGGGCTAGGGCGTTTAGGGCATGGTTAAGGTTAGAGAGGGCGGCCTCGAGCCGCGTCTGGGAGGCGGACAGGTGTCGCCTGAAATGCTCAGCCTGTTGGCTGAGCATGCGGGACAGTATGTCCTGGGCGCGAAGCTGGTTGTGTTGAAAAACCAGCAAGTCCATCGCGAGGAGCAGATTTTGCTGCAAGTCAGGCAAAGAGGCAGGCGGCTCTCCTGTGCATCCAGTGGGCGCAAGGGCTTCTGAAGCAAGGCATTGTGCCAAAGGAGGCTCGGCAAGTGCAGGCTGCGAGGAACTTGTAGGCGGTGTAGTCGAGCATCCAGTGGGCGCAGGTCCGCGGGGCAGGCTGCCGAGGCTGAAAGGCAAAGAGCGCGTGGGCGGAGAAGGCGGGCATCCAGTGGGCGCAGTGTGAGAGCTTCCCGAAGAGCTGTCCAGGCTCCTGTGCACGGCGGCTCCCTGCAGCAAGGCGATGCGCTCCCGATGCAAACTGACCAGCTGGGCCCAGCTGGAGCAGTAGTCTTCTATAGCGGGATCGTAGGCGGTTCCAATAGGCATGGGACTTCGCGAGGCCATGGGCGCGGGCGACTCTCCAAAGCGGAGAGAGAACACCAGGATTACCAGGGGTCCGGAACCTCTAGGCAAAGACTCTACAGGGCGTAGCGGCCTCGAAAAACACGATCCGACAGGCCCCAACTACGGGTTAGGTCAGGGCCAGCTGAGCCAACGAGCCAGCTGGGCATGGGCATCAACGTGTTGTCATGATTCACGTGTGTCAAAACACCTGGGATAAAATTACCCAGCGCGAGGGCAAGGTCAAGCAGCTGCTGTCGAGCGCATTTACATCTTCTCGCCCTCGGTAGAGGTCCATTCTGCCTAACAGCCCGTCAAGGATTACATCCGGGACGAGCTCGGGGTCAACACTGACCGGGAGCAGTGCTGGTGGGAGGACTGGGACGAGGGTGCGCTGCGGAAGATCATCGCCGACCAGAAGCGCATCACCCAGAAGGGCAAGGAGCTGGGCCTGAAAAAACTGTACTCGGTTTTGGTGGTGCTCGACGATCACGCGGATAACCCCGCCGTGCACAGAAAGACGGGTGATGGGGTCCTGGACACACTATTCATTCGGGGCCGACATTTCTGCATAAATACATGGGTGAGCACACAGAAATTGCGTCTTATGAGCTCCGCCGTGCGGGTCAACGTGATGTTCTACTGCGTCTTCCGGCTGCGAAATCAGCTCGAGTTGGATGCGTTGGTGGAGGAACTCTCGGCCATGCTGCCGAAGGAAACCCTGTACTCGATGTACGAAGAGGCCACGAGGGAGCCCTACAGCTTCTGGTTTGTGAATCTGCGAGCCCCGAAGGAAGACATGTTTTGGGTGAGATTCGACCGTAAGTTTGTGCTAAATGGGGACGATCCTGAGCCAGATAGTGGGCAAGCTGCTAGGGGGAGAGCCCCTGTGCGAGAGCGAGTGCAGCAACATTAGGTGCTGCAGCAGCACGCAGGGCATCTACGACCCGAGCCGGAATTGGCCCCCACCAGACAGGACCCGGCAGGTCTCCGACGAGTCCACCGCGGGACCTTCCTGTACTGGGAAGACACGGTCGCCGGCACCCTCCACTACGCCGAGCTCCCGGTGGGAGCCTACACTGGCCCGCAGCTGGCGGCCTGGATCAGCAGCAACTTCGCGGCGGCCACGTACACGGCCGAAACAAATGAGCTGGACGTTAGCTGGGATGGTGTGCGCCTGATCCTGAACGACGCCGAGCTCCGGCAGCGCTTCCCGGGCACGGGATCCTACCCTCCGGGCGCCTCGCCCAGCAAGCCCCTCAGCATCAACCACCTCCTCGGGCCCAGCTACATCACGGGCTCTGTGCAGCGTTTTGTTTTCGTCACTATGAATCCGTTCTCAGAGCTGTACTTGCGCTGCCCTTCGTTGGCCAACGGGGAAACCACGGTCGGCCCGCTGGGGCACGACATTCTCTGCAAAATCGTGGTGTCGAAGGGTGTGGGGCATGTGATGGAGACCGAGACGTCGGAGGAGCACTGGGTGAACCTACACGGGCCTATCACGCTGAGGCATTTGCGGTTCAAACTGACGGACTACCAGGGCAATGTGGTGGACACCAGAGACACCAGCGTGTCCTTCCTGATCTTCTTGGACACTGAACGATAAAAATGTTTAATAGATTAATTGGCTGAGGAAGATGCACCCGCTCCTGTGGCCGCCGAGCCTGCCGTGGGCGAGCCTCGCGTGGCCCCCAGCCCGCCCAGCCGGCGAAGCCTGTGGCCGAACCCCCTGCGCAGCCGGTCCCTGAGCCGACCAAGGCTCCTCAACAAGCGCCGCAGCCCAAAAGGCGAGGCCGACCCCCGGGCTCGAAGAACAAGCCGAAGCCGCCCCCGACGGTGGCCGTGGCGGAGCTTCCTAAGCCTCCTCAACCGGTTGAGCCGCCACAGCCCCAAGAGGCGCAGCAGCAAGAGCCCCCGCAACAGCCCGTCCGCATGACGCCCTCGGAGGCCCGCCAGGCCCGGCAGCTCTCCCGCGCCGACGCTTCCACGAGCTCCTCATGGCCAACACAATGGATCTCTGATCCTCTAAATGACGCGCTACCCGGAGTGGCGCAACGAGGCCGCGATGCTGTGGGCCTTTCACAAGCAGTACCCCAGCTACAATCTGACGCCGCTGCTCTACAAGCGGCAACAGCAGTTGATCGATGCTCGGGCCTTTCTTTCTTTCGGACGCACTGTGAGTCACAGTTAGCGATAGTCTGAGCAGGTCGTATTGACCCGGCAGTTCGGGACTGCAACCTTAGGCTCTCAACAGGAAAACGGCCCCGCGGCGTACCGCAAAGCAAGCCTGCAGCAAAACAGGACAAGGACTAGGCCCTAACGAACCAACACAGGTAACTATTCCTACAAATGGTGGAAACATCACTCGGCTGGACTTTGCAAGCAGTCAGACCGTCGTCAGTGTAGCTAGAATCGCAAAGCAACTCATCAGAGACGCAGGATTCCATCCCTGTTGCACTCACCGCATGGTCAGAAAGCAGCATCGCCCGATAATGGCCTGCACTTGGTGTCTCACCCAGATGGATAGTGACAGCGACCAGTTTGTATGCCCTATGAAGGATTCCCAGAGCGTCATCACAAAAGACCGGCAGAAGGACGTGACCAAGTCTGATCTTTCGAGTATTCTTCACGATTCGGGCACCAATTTGAAAACGTAGCAGCTGAAAACACACGAGTGGCGCAGCATTATGTAAGGCATACACATGATCCTGTCTGTGCCAGCCTTGAATACAGGCCTGAAGGTCCGTGCAGTCCTGTATGTGAAGCCCAACAGGTTGCGTGAGCTCACCCACAACACGAACTGAGCCATCAGGAGAGCGAGCCTGCCATGAGCCATCCAGCGCCGGCATACGAACCTTGCACAGAAGGAAATTTGCGAACTCAGATGCATCGTGCTGCTGAGAAGGCCGCGACCATCCCCGCAAAAGAGCACGCCACCCATGAACATGCTGTAGCATAACTGGTGCAAGGGCCTGCAAAAGAGTTTTGATAAAAGGCGCCAGCCCACCAGTCCAAGAATCACTGAAGCAATGTGCAGCCTCCATATCACCCATGCCTGAAAGGAAAGTGCACGCCCACAAGAGACTGAAGAGCACAGCATGTTGATAGCAGACATTGTGTGGATTTAGGAGCACCAAGGAAAGGACTTGTTGTCGAGCATCTTTGACAGCTGCGTGGCTGCAGGGGTACGTCGGATCCTCTCTCGACGGAGCCCCGCCCCCATAAGCGACATCGATGACGAGCGCACCAGAAGAAGTAGTGCCTCGAAGAGAGCATTGGCCTGAGGACCTCGCAAAGAGATCTGAATCAGGAAGCCCAGGACGTCGCCCTCGTAGTTTTCGCTCATGGGCCTCTTGGCATGGAAGCGATGCAAGGTCTCCTCGTTGGCCAGCTTGCTCACCTCCGCCAAAGTGGTCAGCAGGGTTTGATGCGGAAGCGGTTTGACATCCTGATCCGGGATCTCCTTCTGCTCGTCGTTCTCGTATTGCATGTAATTCCACGCAACTGTCCCATCCTGGCCTGTCACCACCCAGCCCATTTGGAGCATGAAATCTCGGGTCTGTTGCTTGGTCACTGCAGTCGCCACTCTTGACTGAAACTCGGTCATGAAACATCTGAAAAGAGTAAGGCGCAGGGAAGACTTGACCTTGCCCTCCTTTTGCAAGGTCTTCCACTCGGAACTGATGTCCAGCATCGTGGCCAGGATGGATTGCTGAGCCTTGGTCCTTTGATGGAGCACAAAGCCCCTGTCCAGCCGTATCAATGCCAGATCGTCCTCGTGCCTGAGACTGATGATGGAAACCAGTCTCACCATTTGCTTCATGTTCGAATCCTCTGAGGATTGGGCCTGTCGTGACCCCTGATCTCGCCGAGACCCCTTTCTTGTATTTGACTTTCCCTGCACGTGACCCTTGCCTTTGCCGTCTGGCTTGGGGTACTTGCTGGGACGGTCCTTCTCCCCATCCTCCCGCGCGGGGCAGCAGGTGCCGGAAGAACTCCGTCTCCTGGTCTTCCACATCCATCATTCTGTACCACACCTGAATCGCGAGCCAGCTGACACGCGAGCAACGCTTGAAAGAGCACAGTGCATGATTTGGCGTGCCTGGATCGGTGCTCGGTAGCCCCAGCGCACCCGCAGAAGGCACACGGACTCACAAGCTCTGGGCCCCACTTCAACGCGGCGGCAGTGAGCATATCAAGATACCGCTTCCCGATGTCAGCATGTGTTTTCTTGATATGTTGCTTGTGGTGCCTGGGGTCGCCAATCCATTGTCGACACACAACGCAGTGCTTCAGCAAGTCATCACGCATGGCAGTATCCTGTGTGAGGCACCCGGTACTCAGTAGTTTTTGCACCTGCTCTGCTCTCTTGTAAAACGGAAGATCCATAGGTGTAGGCACCAGTGCTTCAGATGGCTTTCCAATCATAGCATGACACCGACCATTGCTAACATGTCGTATCAGGTTTTGCCATCCATGGAATGTCTTGTGACACATTCTACATACCGGCATGCCGTCAACTCCAAGAACATCACGAGTCAGATCGGCGGCAACCGCTGCAGCCTCCCTGTTTACCTCGGGGTGTCGATGCCCAATATGAGTTTTTAGAGCCCGCTCATTCGGGAAGTACTGGCCACAGCGCTGACAGGGCAGGCCTTCCAGCTCCGGAACTTGCACAAGCCTGACATGTGATCTCTGATCCAAAGCCGCTTGAGTGCGTATCATCCCACACGCCCATTCAGCCTGTGAAGAAATGTGTTCATCCTGCAACACGATGTGATGCTCACACGTCCGTACTGCATGTAGTCTGTTCACAAAAGCAACACTCAGCTTCAACAGAAGATCCATGGGGTCCCGTAGGCCCAATCTTGTTTGTAGTGATGTCGTAGTTTCACCCGTTAGGTGTCGTGGAGACCTGGCAATAGCACGCCAGTGTGTTGCAACCACTCCCCTGAGCCTGGCAGTTGATGCTGGTGTTACGCCAACCGTCACTAATGAATATGTCAGCGAGGTCCAGATGCATGTGAGCCACATACGAACACGGGTAGCCAAGGTCAAAACGCGTCTGTGCAGAAACTTCTTGAGTCTAGTGTAGTTATCCTTGGCAACAGCAAGACGCCTCTGAAAGGTGAGATCCTCGAAGTTCGAATAGCTCAAGACGGCTCGGGCCTTCAACGAGTGGCTGGCCAACCGGCGGCAGCGCCAGGAGGGCGAGGCCTATGCGGATGATGTGGGGCGTGCAGTCGACGCCGTCAATCGAAAGATCCTCCAGTTGAGGTGGGCCCCCGCCGAGCGAGCGGGCGTGCGCAGAGTTGCACGGGACGTGGCAGCCGGGCGCAACACCAGCGACTCTGGGGTTTACGGAGGCTTGATGTAAACATGGAGGAGCGACGTGCGCACGGCTTCCGCGTCAGACACTCCTACGGGCAAGTATTGGGCCACATCGCCGAGGGCGAGCCCCTGCCCATCAATCTCCCGAACCGCAACGCATCTATCCTGACTTCCAGTCACTTCTGGCTTCAGGACTACCCCGAGAGCACGGAGCCCGAACCTGCCCCGCTGCCCCACACAACCGTAGACCCCGCAGCGGCGTACGAAGATGCAAATGAAGGGTACGATGGCGTGCCCTTCCCGAGAAGGGACTTCCGCCCGCGGCCCTTCGACCTGGACAGCGAATCAGACTTTGGGGCCGTGGACCCTGGCCAGGCGCTGCGCAACGACGGGCTGAACCCGCCGCCGGCGCCGGGCTTCCTGGGCCGCCTGCAGCAGGCCGAGGCCGCGGCAGAAGCTGCTGCGGGACTGGCGGGCTCCGTCTCTCCATTGCGGGGCACGGTCAGCGCCCCCGCCGCACGAAGCAGCTCCGCCGCAAATCATCGGCCGGCCTTTGGAAATGGAGCCGCTTTTGGAGCGCGGGGCAGCGAGCCCAGGAGGTGGAGAGGGCGGCAGCCCGAGACATCGAGCAGTTCATAAGCAAGCAGGCCGAGGTCGAGGCCACGGAAGGTTTTGCTTCCACGGCGGAGGCTGCGGGGGCTGCAGAAGCGGCGGCGGCAGTGGAGGGCCCAAGTGCACTGGCCCTGTTCGGGGGCCTGGCTGTGGCAGGCGGGGCGGTCGGACTTGTGGGCACCGCATGGGCACTGCACGGCGGCATGGTGGCGGAGCACCTTTGGGGTGGGGCGGCGGTGGCGGCACCAACACGGACGCTTCCCCGGCCCAGCTCGGCCCCAGACATCCAAACCCTGAATACAGCAAGTTGGAGCCGCGGCCCAGCCGCCCCCCCAAGTGCAGGCTCGTCTCGCGAGGCCCACGCGTTTCCCCACGGGCTTGAACCCCGCTCCCTTGGCGGCGAGTCCTCCAGGCGCTTCGCAGCGCGAGCGAGCCGGAGGCCGCATGAATCTTTCGAAAACAGTATGGAGCAGGTAACTGCTGCCGTCAATGATAAGCTGGTTCACAAGCCTCGATTACAAGCTTCAGTCGAGCAACGTCAATTACGTGCAGAGTCGAACGGCCACACTGCAGCTCGCCTTGCCGGACCCCAGCTGCCTCATCGACCGGATCAAGGTCTTTTGTGGGGGGACTTGCACAGAGGACATCAGCCACTACAACCGCTGCTAGCCTCCTGAAGAACAAGGAGTGGTGGCTGAACCGGCACATCCAGGGCTTCCTGGGGCCACGCCGCACCCATCCCGGCCTCGGGCTCCCGGACAATGTTCATGAGCCCGCATTTAATCGGGATCCTGAACTGCGTCAAAATGCTCCCGCCCAAACTCAACCTCGTCCTTCAAATCACCTTCTGCAACCCCACGGATGGGGCCCGCAATGTAAAAGTTTCTAAACAGCACAAACCCAACTTACACACAGCTTCGCACTTGCACAGCACTTTCTCGGTCACACAAAGCGACGTGCAGTTGTCCTGCCTTCTTAGTGCTTTCTCAGCTCTCTTGACCTTGAGCCAAGAGTCAAAAGTAAAACTGGAAAAACCCAGTTGACGCCACCTACGCAAGCTCACTTCTCCTACAAAACAAAATCTCAAGGAAAAACATGCTCGACTGTTCAGGGAAGACCTGTACGTCCCGGACATACAGTAAGCACGTCAAACATGCGCCTTGACCAAAAAGGCATCCCGCAGACGTGTCTATACACAGATTTTCACACCCCCTTTCGGGATGATCTTTTTGTCTCACCTCACTCTCAGATGACGACATCCTCAGATGATCACTCCAATCTCAGAGGTCTGTTCCCTGTCACACATGTCGAACACGGAGTGATGCATGTCGGGTTGGAGGTAACGGCCGCCACATGCTTGCAGTACACACTGTGATATTTGTCCCCGGACGGGAACACACACAGTTCTGTGTTGCCCGGCTCTGGCTTACAGTTCCCACACTGCCACATAGTTCGCCATGATCCCTCCATGCGATGACACGTCTGATTGTGATGAAAGATGCCCTGAGACTCTGAAGCAAAGATGCGCTTGTCCACTCTATCCTTGCAGCTTGAACTTGCATGCTTCTCCCTTGCACCAGCTGCCTTCGGCCTCGCTCTCAACGACGATGCCTCCTTTTTACCATCTGGCTCACGAGGGTTCATCTGTTGACTTCTCTCAGGCATAGAGTTGTTTTGGGCACCTTGTGGCTTCATCGTGTGATCATCCAGAGGCGGGTTCTGTGTAGCAGCTCTTTGCTGCCCATAGCTCATCCGGAAAAACAATGCCCACGCACAACAGCATGTCATGATCAGCGTACCAACCAAGATGCCGTTGACAAAGCACCCGATGATGATGATCCATACTGGATCCCAAGTCGGACTAGCAAACATCTGTACAAGCTCGCCGCCCATGAAGGTGGTTCCCCAAAGCTCTACTGGCCTCGCAGTCTCCACTCCAGAGCTCATCAACGCAAGAATGGCCACTGAAATCGCCACTCTCATCAAAGGCTGTGCAACCATGACGCCCGAGGGAAAACTAGAAAACTTGCGTTACAAAGAATCGCAAGTGCTGTGCAAACGCACTGTGCAAAACGCATTCTGACTATACTCCTCACATGACTTGATCATGTGTGGCGTAAGATGAAACCAAATCGGATCCCCCTTTCAGTTTGTTGCTTTCAGGGCTTTGACCAACCCTTCTGCCAGCACCTTACTATACCTCCCTGTTGCTGTGTAGTCAATGTCATGGAACGAGGCATGTGTCTGGCAACTGCAGCTTCCAAACATGTCGAAAAGCTTCTGGGCGCACTCGAGATGTGAACACATGAACCTGAGACGTTTTGACACTGGAAGACCGCTTCGACTCAACACGCCGGTGGCGCACAGCCACACATCTACGGGATACACAAGACCTGAGGCTCGAAGGACATTCTGTGTTCCCCATCTCTTCCAAATCATGTTTTGCTTTGGCAATTCGAACGTACGTCCATCTCCAAGCCTCAGATACCTCTCTGCAGATCGCATCAACGCCTCCCACTCAAGATCAGATTTTGTACATCTTTGCACAAAGTTCCGCAGTGGCGATCCTGAAGAGCAAGGCGTGGACACGTGAACGTGGATCCAAAGCCCTCTGCTCTTCCAAGCAGTGGTGACCTTGATGGTTTCTGCCAACACTCTTGAGGTCTCGGCATTGGCTGTGATCCCGCAATACGGCACCCCAAGTGATTCACACACCTGACACAGGGCCGAATCCTCACTGCAAAACACCTCCAGCACTGCCACTTCATCAGATTCCTTCATGCTCTCTGGAGAAACTCGCAGCTGTGACAACATGTACAACGCCTCCACATGTCCATCTTGTGTGATGAAGCCTAATCGCGTTCTGTGTTCTTGGAAGAGTCGAGTTCCGAGATTTTTAGTGTAGAGATCAGCAGCATTCTCCTCGCCTCTCAGCCAACGCAACTTGAGCCGACCTCTCAAGAGATGTTCTCTCATCCATGCCAATCGGATCTCCACATGCCGCGAACGCTTAGGGACGTCTTCTGCATGAATGACATCCAACGCTGCCTGACTGTCCGTCAACAGTTCAGTGTAGATCTTGTCACGCTGTTCTTCACCACCTTCGTCCTCTGCATGGGCACTCATCTGCACATCAATTGAACCTTGAAGTTCACCAAAGGCAGTGAAGACACGATCAAGCAAGTGCAAAAATCCGATTGTCTCCTGTGCAGCATACTGCAACGCATGAAGCTCAGCCTCACAAGATGACAAGCACACCACTCCTTGCACTTTCGCGATCCCTCGCACAAGACCTCCTCCAAAACAGATGGCTCCACCTGTGATCCCTCTTCTGCCGATGAACCTGTATGGAGCATGAGACGCATCTGCAAAGACATGCACACCATTCCGCAGCACATCTTCGGAACATTCCAAGAACTCACCACTCAACTCCGATGACGGCAAGCGCAGTGCAACATGTCTGTCGGTGTAGAGATAACGTAGAAGTGCCCTCAACGCCGCCTCGGTGCTCTGTGTCGGCGCAGCTTGTTGCGTACTGATGAGTCCAATCATCAGTTTCAGATCTTGCCTTGTCTGGGCATACCAGAGAACCTTTCCAAGCACTCTGCGGAATCTGCTGTAGGCCTCCGACGTCAAAACCGGTGTACCTGTTTTCTCCAGTAGACCTGCTAGGTCTGGAACGGCAGTTGTGCCCTTTTGGATGCCAAACGCATCGAAGCAGGATTGCAAGTATTCAGGCTTCACACCTACCTCGACTGCACTCTGCCCCGGCCACCGACGAATGCACCGACCAATGAACTCAACCATGCCGCCACCTTGACTGGATGTCTTCACCCTACCTGTCACCTTTACGGTTACTCGCTTCCCGATGGCACTCAAGACCAAGTCTTCAGCCCACTGATCATCAGTGACGATTAGCAAATCGTCCACGTAGCATACGATCATCACTCTGCTTGATCTATCCTTGTGCCACACAACACCCGCAAAGAGACATGGCTCACGTGCATCACTCAACAGACCTAGTGGACGGATCAACGACGAAAGAAGCTTAAGCCATGCCAACGAAGCATCCCGCAGTCCATTCAATGCGCAATACAGGAAGAAGAAGATAGCCTGGCCATCTTCCGAACTGATGCTCAGCGGTAGCTTCAACACAACGGGATTCGACTTGGTGTCCAACGGTGAGTTCATGAAAGCATGCCCAATGTCTGCCGCACAACCTTGCATGTCACGCGTGGCCATGAAGATCAAGGTGAGCATCATGGCATCATGGCTTGGGGTTGGTGAGCTAAACCCCTGCTTTCTTGCCGAGCCATGTGCAAGGTCCTTTGCCACAATGCGACACCTGACACGAGTGGGATTCTTTCTGGCACAAACCCATCGAGCGGGTATTAGTCTCAGCGATGGGTTCTTAGCCTTCAGGGCCTTCACTTCATGCTCAAGGATTGCTCTGCCTGTCTGACAACGCTCTAAGTTGGTGAGTTCCTCTTGCATCCCGGAGAATACAAGATCTCCCGGCAGTTCCTCCAACGTACTGTCGTCTACTCCGGCATCAGGCTTCCAAATCAACACGCGACGTCCTCCCAACATGAAACTCTCACTCTTCGCGTCCTGACTTCCATCTCGGAATCGAATGCTGTTCACCTCCACATCAAACATGCTCGGACTTGTCACAACGTCGCTCAGCAGAACACTTTCACATGCGTTGCTGGACCAGCACAAGCCCTCGAGTCGTCTCGGCTCCTGGGGTCCTGAGGCTCGAATCTCATCTTCAAGATCAACAAGCTCAACATCAGGATGCCTCTTCACCCCCTTTTGCTCTGGTACCCTTGGGCCTGATCCTTGCTCGTCCACTTGCATGTGCTCGGATGACTTGGCGGGCCTGCGCTGTAGCAGTGAAGGTCGTGATGATGCTGATGGCGATGCTGGCTCAACTACCCGCACACGCTTCAACTCTGGCTCATCACCTGTACTCCCGGAAGCAACACCACGAGTCGACACCTCTCCACCTGAGCGCTGCTCTCTCTCTGGTCGTGGTTCATGTTCAGAAGATGACGGTGGGCGCCCCGCCATTGGTGCAGGGATCCCCACCGGAATCGGCATCACTTCCTCTCGACCTTCGTCCTTCAACACCAATCTCCGCTCATCACTCTCAACATTGGTCTCAAACTGCTGGGACCTTCCTGCCTCAGCCGATCCACTTCCGGCTTCACGTGATGCATCCAAAGGTGGCTGCATAGCCACTCTAGCACCATCAGATGCCATGGACTCTGTCAACCAGCGTTCATACCTCCGATGACAGGCTCTCGTATGCGCACCGCCCAGCCTACGCCCATGTCGTGCATTGTCACACGCTGAGCATCCTTCCGTGTATCCATGAGTTCTCACCCACTGAGCTGGAGGACCTGACGCTGGGGCTCTCAGTGACACAGGTGGCTCAAGAACTTC